TGCTGCGGCAGCCGGGCCGGAGCGGAGGAAGAAGAAGGTAGAGGGCATGCCGTCTAAGAATCTAATGGCGGAGAGGCGAAGGCGAAAAAGGCTTAATGATCGGCTCTCTATGCTTCGATCTGTTGTTCCTAAGATCAGCAAGGTATTTATTGCGACATTGATTAACCTCAGTTTCATTTTCTCAACAAAAAAAAAAAAAAAAAAAAAAAAAAATCAATTAATAACTTCATATTCTAATTTTTACCATTCTTTATTGTCTTACCTTTTTATTTATTTTGAAGTTCTGATAGAATTTATTTATCCTTATTCTTCTGCGTTTAGGGTTTCCCCTTTTCGAAATGGTTCTCTCTGCTGCTATTAGCTTGGAAGCTTACTGAGATTTAGGTTTTTACAGTGAGATGGTTATTATTTTAGCAGTTTTTTAAACTCAAGATTAAAATCTAAGAATAATTTGTGGATAAAAATGATTTGTTCTTCATCATTCGTAATAGTTTGATTAGCATAATGATGATATTGTGGCATAAAAACTCTGTTAAAAATCATTAAATTTGTATTTTATTTTTAATTTTAGATGGACAGAACATCGATATTAGGGGACACCATTGATTACATGAAGGAGCTGCTTGAGAAAATCAAGAGATTGCAGGAGGATACAGAAGCAGGTGTAGCGGAACAAGCCAATCTTCTTGGCCTATTCAAGGAGCTAAACCCTAATGAGATCTTAGTCAGGAACTCCCCGAAGGTAATTATGGAAGCTAAGTTTGATCATAAATATTAGTGTGATCTGTAATTTTCAGTATGTTGGGGTGCATTTTGAATATTATATGTTTTTCCTGTTTATTTAGTCATACCACCCAATTCTTATGTATTTACATATATAACACCTAAACTTTGATTTTCTTACATTTATACCACACAAAATTTTCATATTACATAAAAAATACCACTATTTTAATTTAAAAAAAATGTGAAATACACCTTTTCATGCATCGTGGAGGTGGCATATATATATATATATATGTAAAAATTGAAGTTTAGGTGCTAAATATGTAAATACATAAGAATTGAGTGGTATGCATGTAAATCTTCCAATTTTGTTATAGATTCAACCAATTGACGTTGGTCTCCTGTTGATTTCAACATAACAATGATGGAGTTTTATAGAGAAATCTATAATTCCAACTTCTTAATAAAAATTTGCAAAATGAGCCTGTTTAACTCGATTCTTTGTAAGATGTTAAGTAAGCTCCACAACTTAATACATCATAACGATCATAATTGATTCGTTACTTATTTTCTCAAAGTTTTTTAGGCATTGAGATTAGTATCCCCACTTCATAAAAAATTAACTAGCTCCCAAATTGCTATATTAATCTTGTCATAACAAATGATGTTTATAATTAAGGAAAAGTTAACTCATCACAGATTTCACCATAACAATGATGTAGTTTTAAAGAGGTTCACAACCCTAATCATTTTTGTATTATAGCTAATAACGATGCCTTGAGACGTTTCTTCCTTCATCAAACACTAATTAGGCTCAATGAAACAACATGATTAGTGGCTCGGGAGAGGACTGGCTAGTCCTCAAGAAAGGATGGGCTGCCTCTTTCTCCTTCCTCTTCCCTCCTTTCCGTTTTTCGTCCTTCATTTTTCCTTCATTTTCTTCTTTGCTTATTTTCCTTCGTAGCACTTGCCTATTTTAAAATCTTTCATAAAATTGAAATCTGATTTTTATTCTCCTCCTCGTAGTTTAAAACCTTTCCTGAAAGTCTTTTTCCGAATTTAAAACCTTTCCTTAAAGCATAAATCCTGATTTTGTTCTTTTTTTCCTAATTTTAAATTCTTCACAAAATTTGAGATCTTGATTTAAATGTTTCCTAAGATAGGTCATGTCTTTTTATAAATTGTAAAGATTGCGCTTAGTGTTGGGGGGTTGGTTTTTGGATGAAATCTGAATTCCATTTGTCTGAGTGTTCTATCTCTTGAGGCCTGTATCCGACTTCAAGGTAGTGCTCTGACTGTCCCTTGTCTAAGGTGGTGATCTTCTCCACGGTTCCGAGTGACGCTCATGCTGTATCTCGACCTCGCCAATATATTTATATATCATTCCAACCTTTCTGTTGTTGTCCACCCGCTCCACAACCCTATGACAACCCTCTTACGATCTTCCTGCTGCTCTTCCAAGTTGCTGCTAGCTCTTCCAGGATGTTGGCCGCTTTCCTACAACCTCTTCCAAGTTGTTGCCAGCCCCCCCTGGCCTCCCTACTGCCTGCTGTCGCCCCGCGGGTACCGCAGCCCCTTGCTGCCCTTTCTGGTCGCCACACCAATTTTCGGACTCCCTACTAGCCGAGCTTGCTGTTACTTTAATTGTCGAGTCTTTTCAGTAATGTTTGATATGTTTTTTGACTACATTGGGTTTTTTCCATTTCTTTTGAGTCATCGTTGTAACCGTCTATTTAAGTTATTATTAAATTTGTGTCTTGCGTCGTGGTTTGAGTTTTACTCCGGTATCATTGGGTATCAAAGTCAGCCTAATCCTAATTTTATCGTAGGATCTATAGCATCCACACCTACCCAATCCATCACACCAATTTTTTTTTTCTTTCATTTATTTTTTTTCTCTTCTTTCTTTTCTTTTCTTCCACAGGTCCCAAACCATCGAATATGCCTCCAAGAAGAAATATGCCCGAGCCTACCCAAGACAAGATACGACTAAAACTTTGTCATCCAACAAAGAGTTGCAGAAATTGAAGAAATAACACATGAAGAAGTTACCTTCCATAGGGATAATTTCAACAATGAAGAAAAACCATGATATTTCGGAATCCAATATTAGAGGAGGCCTAAAGAAGGATACATGCGTCCCTTCCATAAGGAAACTTTTTGAGAAGAGATCACGAGATCAAGGTAGATTTGCCCGAGTTTGAGGGAAGCATGGATCCAGATGAATTTATCGAATGGCTACAGGCAGTTGAGCGGATTTTTGAACAAAAAAAGGTGCGTGAAAAGAGGCGGGTCAAATTAGTTGCTATCAAATTAAAGAAAAATGTCTCCCTATGATGGGAAAACGTACAACGACAGAGGAGACGAGAAGACAGTGAAATATCAGATGAAGAAAATCATGCAGAAGAAATATCTTCCCCTAAATTATCGCCAAGACTTGTTTTTGAAACTCCACAATCTAAAACGGAGAGACCTTTTAGTAAAGGAGTTCACAACTTTGTTTGACCACTCAGCTCAAGTGTGATCTGACAAAGCCTGAGAAGAAATCATTAGCAAAATATCTTCGGGGTTTCAAGCCTAGTATCGACAATTTGGTGCAGCTACTGCCGTACTGGACGCTGAAGGATGTTCAGACATTGACATTGAAAGAAGAAATGGAACAGAAACAGAAGCGAAGCCAGGCATCCATCACCTGCCAGACACCCAAAGTTGGAGATACCGGCAAGAGCATGCCGCAGAGGGTTGAGAAAATTAGTTCGGATACGGATAAAACCACCTCTAGTGAGAAGAAGTCGACAACAGTGTTCACTAGAAAATGCTTCAAATGCCACAGGTTTTGACACATAGCCTCTAGTTGCTCGACGAGCAAAGTTGTATCTTTTACTGAACAGGGCGCTGTGGAAGAGTTGTATCTTTTAGCGAGGAGCAGTAAGCTGAGGATTAGGATGAGGAGCATTAGCTTCCATCAGATGAGGGAGAAACACTTGTGATTTGACATATTTTGCAGGTCGAGGTCACGAGGGATCCGCAGTTGCTTCGCCACATCATTTTCTACACTCACTGCACAATGAATAAAAATGTATGTGGTTATATCATTGACACTGGTAGCAGTAAGAATATAGGACTAATGACTCAGAGTCATTCCCAGTCATATTCACTGAGGTAGCTGAAGATGCAAAATAGGGTCAGCATTGACCGACAATGTCTAATAGAGTTTTAAATAGGGAGTCATCTGCAGAACAAGGTATGGTATGATGTGATCCCCATGAATGCCTGCCACATTCTGCTAGGAAAATCATTACAATTTTACCGGAAGACGCAGTATGATGGATTCAAAAACACGTATTCCTTCACCAGGGATGGCAAGCGCTTCATTCTACTTCCTTCGATAGCGCTCGAGGAGATAGGAGCTCTTACTAGCAGAGTAGCGGGATCAGTTTTAGTGACAATTGGTTCTCTAGCATCATGGTCACCACCATGCAAGAAATTTTAGTCCCAGAAGATCGGACCAAGATGGATGTGTGCTCACAAATGCTTTGGGAGGCAGTACAGTCGACAGTGGGATCCAGGTGTTCCCATGATTAAAGACAAGGGCCAGAAGCTTCAACAAGTGAGGTCGAAGCTCCTTCAACCCCTGAAGCTGAGGGCTAGGGATAGGAACGACTGGTTCTCAAGGAAGGGGGGGCTGCCTCCCCCTTCTTCTTCTTCCTTCATTTCCTTTTCCTCCTTTCTTTTTTCCTTCATTTCCTTCTTTTCTTATTTTCTTTTCTAGGGCTTGCCTATTTTAAAACCTTCACTAAAACTGAAATCTGATTTTTATTCTCCTTCTTCTAATTTAAAGCATTTCCTAAAGTCTTTCTCCTAATTTAAAACATTTCCTAAAAGCATAAATCCCGATTTTATTCTCTTTTCCTAATTTAAAACTCTTCTCAAAATCTTAGACATTGACTTTATTTTTATTCTCTTTTTTATTTTAAATGTTTCATATAATAGGCCACGTCTCTTTATAAATAGTAAATGTTGGAGTCAGGGGTTGATTTTTAGATGAAATCTGAATTTAGTTTGTCTAAGCGTTTTTTGTCTTGAGGATTGTATTTGATGTCAAGGTAGTGCTCCGTCTTTCCCTTGTCTGAGGTGGTGATGACCTCCATGAGTACGAGTGGTGCTCCGACTGTATCTCGACCCCGCCAAGATACTTACATATCCTTCCGCTCTT